TGTCAGTATATTGTTTACATGAATGGAATTTTAAACATGATTCTTTGGCTGGGTTGCATTATGTGTATGGTCCTGTTTAGAACTGCTTTTGGAGCAACTTTTCACTAGAAAAAAAACAGTGGAGCAACCAAACACGAAACTTACCCGCAAAACAACTATGAGCCATTTTCTTCGTTAAGCAGCCTGTGAGGAGCTTATCTCGTCTTTTTCTCGCCGTCCTCGAGCGCCTCCCCACCGCAAGTGCCTCCTAGTAGCCTGCCTCCACTGTGATGAGTTCCTCCTGCTGGGCGTCCTATTCGTCGATGTGTGCTGCCCCACCCGCTGGTTGCCTCCCCACTGTGAGTGCCTCCTCTTCGATTGCCTCCTCACTGATGATCTCCCCACTGAGCGCCATCCTACCGACGAGCGCCGCTGGATCGACGTGCTGCCCGCGGATTGGAGCTGTCGCCCTCGACCACCCCATGTGCCACCCCACATCTGCGCACACCCTTGGCCTTTGCCTCCCTGTCGCCGGTCGGCCAGTTCCACTAAGCAGCAGGAGCCCTGCAGCTTGCCCTCTCTTCTTGATTGGAAGAAGCCGGAAAAATAAAGCCACACACAAAATGCTTTGCTTTTTACATGAGAGCTCCAAAAGTAGCTTTTGTGGGCAGCTAGCCATAAGCTAGCTTTCTATAAGTTTAAGCCATTGAAAACAGGGCCTATATGTATATTTAGTGTTTCAGATGTCAGGTTAGCTTGCACATCATTTCATCATATTTGAAACTTAGGGTTTGCCAGTGTTTTGCCAACATGATATTCTTTTTGCAACTAGATGGAACTTATTGTCTGATGTATTATACTACAACAACAACAACAAAGCCTTTAAGTCCCAAACAAGTTGGGGTAGGCTAGAGTTGAAACCCAGCAGAAGCAATCAAGGTTCAGGCACGTGAATAGCTGTTTTCAAGCACTCCTATCTAAGGCTAAGTCTTTGGGTATATTCCATCATTTCAAGTCTCCTTTTATTGCCTCTACCCAAGTCAACTTTGGTCTTCCTCTACCTTTCTTCACGTTACTATCCTAGCTTAGTATTCCACTACGCACCGATGCCTCTGGAGGTCTCCGTTGGACATGTCCAAACCATCTCAACCGGTGTTGGACAAGCTTTTCTTCAATTGGTGCTACCCCTAATCTATCACGTATATGATCGTTCCGAACTCGATCCCTTCTTGTATGACCGCAAATCCAACGCAACATACGCATTTCCGCGACACTTATCTGTTGAACATGTCGTCTTTCCGTAGGCCAACATTCTGCACCATACAACATAGCAGGTCTAATCGTCGTCCTATAAAACTTGTCTTTTAGCTTTTGTGGTACCCTTTTGTCACATAGGACACCACATGCTTGGCGCCACTTCATCCACCCTGCTTTGATTCTATGGCTAACATCTTCATCAATATCCCCGTCTCTCTGTAGCATTGATCCTAAATATCGAAAGGTATCCTTCCTAAGCACTACTTGACCTTCCAAACTAATATCTTCCTCCTCCCGAGTAGTAGTGCCGAATTCACATCTCATATACTCAGTTTTAGTTCTACTGAATCTAAAACCTTTAGACTCCAAAGTCTCCCGTCATAACTCCAGTTTCTGATTCACTCCTATCCGACTTTCATCAACTAGCACTACATCGTCCGCGAAAAGCATACACCAAGCGATGTCCCATTGTATGTCCCTTGTGACCTCATCCATCACTAAGGCAAACAGATAAGGGCTCAAAGCTGACCCTTGATGTAGTCCTATCCTAATCGGGAAGTCATCCGTGTCTCCATCACTTGTTCGAACACTAGTCACAACATTGTTGTATATGTCCTTAATGAGCTCGACGTACTTCATTGGCACTTTATGTTTGTCCAAAGCCCACCACATAACATTCCTTGGTATTTTATCATAAGCCTTCTTCTAAGTCAATAAAAACCATGTGTAGGTCCTTCTTCTTCTCCCTATACCGCTCCATAACTTGTCTTATTAAGAAAATGACTTCCATGGTTGACCTTCCGGGTATGAAACCAAATTGATTCATAAAGACCCGCGTTATTGCTCTCAAGCGATGCTCGATAACTCTCTCCCATAGCTTCATAGTATGGCTCAACTTAATTTCTCGGTAATTAGTACAACTTTGAATATCCCCTTTATTCCTGTAGATCGGTACCAATATACTTCTCCATTCGTCAGGCATCTTGTTCAATCGAAAAATATGGTTAAACAACTTGGTTAGCCATACTATAGCAATGTTCCCAAGGCATCTCCACACCTCGATTGGGATACCATCCGGTCCCATCGCCTTATCTCCTTTCATCCTTTTCAACGATTCTAACCTCGGGATTCTCCGCACCATTTGTGTCCATCTAATGTAAATGTTGTGTCCATATTCTCACCATTGAACAATTTGTCAAAATACTCTTGCCATCGATGTTGGATCTCATCCTACTTCACCAAGAGATGCTCCATTTCATCCTTAATGCACTTAACTTAGTTGAAGTCCCTTGTCTTTCTCTCACGAACCCTAGCCATCCTATAAATGCCCTTCTCTCCTTCCTTCGTACTCAAATGTTGGTAAAGATCCTCGTACGCTCTACCATTTGCCACATTTACAGCTCGCTTTGCAGTCTTCTTTGCCACCTTGTACTTCTCTATGTTGTCCACACTCCTCGAATGGTATAAGCGTCTTTAGCATTCTTTCTTCTCCTTAATAGCCCTTTGGACTTTCTCGTTCCACCACCAAGTATCTTTAGCCTCGCCTTTACTTCCTTTGGTTACTCCACACACCTCTGAGGCCACCTTCCGAATGTTGGTTGCCATCTTCTCCCACATGTTGTTTATGCCCTCTTCTTCCTTTCAAGAGCCCTCTTTGATAACCCTTTCCCTAAATACCTCTGACGTGTCCTCTTTCACTTTTCACTACTTTGTTCTTTCAATCTTAGCTTGTTTATCCCTACGGACACGCACCTAAAAACGAAAGTCTGCCACCAAAAGCTTATGTTGAGAAACAACACACTCCCCTGGTATCACCTTGCAACCCAAGCATGCTTGTTTGTCCTTTCTTCTTGCGAGTACAAAGTCAATCTGGCTAGAGTGTTGTCCGCTACTGAAGGTCACTAGATGAGATTCTCTCTTTCTAAAGAAAGTGTTGGCTATCATCAGGTCAAAAGCTACCGCGAAGTCCAGAACTTCCTCCCCCTCCGGATTCCTACTACCATACCCAAAACCTCCATGAACTGCCTCGAAACCTACGCTTGTAGTACCTACATGCCCATTAAGATCTCCTATAAAAAGTTTCTCACTATTAGGTACAGCTCTAATCAATCTAAGTCTTCCCAGAACTGTCTCTTAGCACTCTCGTCGAGGCCTACTTGGGGGGCATACGCACTAATTACGTTCAAGACCATATCACCAATGACAAGCTTGACTAAGATAATCCTATCTCCTTGCCTTCTCACTCCCACCACACTATTCTTGAGGCTCTTATCAATCAAAACTCCTACTCCATTTCTATTCGCGACTGTCCCTGTGTACCAAAGCTTGAAACATGTATTGTCCACCTCCTTCGTCTTCTGACCCTTCCATTTAGTCTCTTGAACGTATAATATATTTACACGCCTCCTAGTCGCGGTATCAACTAATTCACTTAATTTACCTGTAAGCGACCATACATTCCAACTGCCTAAATGGATCCTAGTGGGTTCGACTAGCTTCCTTACCCTTCGCACCCGTCGACTCAGATGTGAAGACCCTTGCTCATTTTTCACTACACCCGGACGCCGATGTAGCGCGCCACTAAGGATGCGACGACCCGATCCTTGCTCACTTGACACCGTGCCCAGATCGCGACACGGCGCGTCACGGGGGTGACGACCCGGCCCTTGCTCATTTAACACCATACCCGGGTTCCGATATGGCGTGTCGCTGAGAGGGTTACGCCCCAACGGTTTTCTTTCGGGTTTCATCTCCATTAGAATGGCTAGATTTAACGTTGGCTCGCCACGCCTATCACAACCCTCCTCCTTTACCAGGGCTTGGGACCTGCTATGTTGAGACAACATAGGCGGAGTTTGATGTACTATGTTTTCCTCGATTCATCATAAAATTTTGTTTGGTTATTGACACCAGATGGAGATTTAAAAAAACTGTGTTTATTTTGTCTTAATATAGATATATGTTCCATGCTACTTGGTCCAAAACACATGATACGATTGCCATGTTTTAATATTTGGGTGAGATAGTTTAATGCTATTGTTGGGTCTTGGGTGAGATAGTTTTATGGATACCATTCAAGTTTTCTTTTGGCAATTCCTTTTAAACTTTGCACAGAACTTAACATCTGATACACTGTCAAGCAACATATTATTTCTTTCTTTAGATTACAAATTGTGTGGTTATTGATGCCAGGCTTGGTGCAAGCGGTAGAGTCTTACCGCATGTGACCGGAAGGTCCCGGGTTCGAGTCGCGGTCTCCTCACATTGCACAGGTGAGAGTAAGGCTTGCCATTGACACCCTTCCCCAGAGCCCGCACAGAGCGGGACCTCTTTACACTGGGTACGCCCTTTATTGATGCCAGATAAGTTGAATTTTTTTTCCTATTTTGGCTTAGGTGGAGTCTATTGCACTTGCACCACGATTGTGCTGCTTGTTTGCCCTTGGCACTTCTTTGTTTCTAGATTGTATATAGGAAGGTCTTGTCAGGTTTCTTTTTCTTCTTTGTTGATAGTTTGATGGATTGCCAAGATACCATGTTAACATGTAAATTCCTGGACTACTTTTTGGCTGTTTATGTGTCACTAGGAAGCAGATTGAGCTATCACTCTAATATAAACCTTATCTTTAGATTTAACTCTACATTTTCATTTCTGATGAATTGTGGCACCCTACCTGTTACTGTTTTTTGTTGGCTCATGGGACTATTTCTTTTTACTGTTTCTAAGTTCTTTTGTTTGAATTTCAGGTGCTATCAACTTGGAAGATGGCAGATGAGGAACAAGCCCCAAGCTCTAGGAAGAGGGTTGCAGGTACCCAAATCAACAAGGATAATCCTGAGCCTGATGATGACGGACCAGAGCAAGAGATGGGTACATTTAAGAAAGCTACTGAGGAAGTTATGGCAACCCAGAGAATTGTAAAGGTTCGGCGCCAGCAGACGTCATCAGCTCCTTCTTCTAATCCTTTCTCTGTGCCAGACAAGAATGCAGGCTCTGGTGTAAATACCGACTCCGCTGCCACAACTGAAGCACCACCTCAACCTGTTGAAACCAGTGACAAGGAAGAAGACACAAAGGATGAATCTGGTGGAGACAAAGTGGTAGTTGGAGAACCCAAAGAAAGTAGCTCCATGCCATCTGAAGTTGAGGGCAAAACAAAAGAGGGAGATGCTGAAGAAAAGGAAAGGGCAGATGAAGCTGGAAATAACGATAAAATTAGCAAGGATGATACTGAGAAGAAAGATGGAGGTGAATCAGAGACCAAGGATGGCTTCTCTGATGAGCAGAGAGATGCTGATAAAATTAGCAAGGATGATACTGAGAAGAAAGATGGAGGTGAGTCAGAGCAGAAAGATGCTGATAACAAAGGGCATACATCATCAGCAACACCCCTTTTCTCGTTTAAGAATCTGTCAAGTGGTCAAAATGCTTTCACAGGTCTGACCGGAACTGGATTTTCAAGCACATCATTCTCGTTTGGCTCAGCCTCTAAAGATGGCTCAAGTTCTGGCCCCCTGTTTGGGCTGAAAGCTGATGGTTCTTCGTTCCCTTCTTTTAATCTTGGTACTGCCAACAACGGGAGTTCTGCCACAGCGCTTGCTACTTCAGCAGAGGCACCCAAGAAATTTGCTATGACAGAGGGTCCTGTTGAAACTGGTGAAGAAAATGAGAAGGCTGTATTTACTGCTGATTCGGCTTTGTATGAGTACCTAGATGGGGGCTGGAAAGAAAGAGGAAAAGGTGAACTGAAGCTGAACGTCCCTGTATCTGGCGGTGAGAGTGGCGAGAGAGCCCGGCTCGTCATGAGGACAAAAGGCAACTACCGGCTGGTCCTGAATGCAAGCCTCTACATCGACATGTCACTCAAGGACATGGACAAGAAAGGCGTGATATTTGCCTGCATGAACAGCATTGGGGAGTCACCGAGCAGCCTTGCGACATTTGCTCTGAAGTTCAAGGACACAGCCACCAGGGAGGAATTCAAGGATGCGGTGGAGTCTCACAAGACAAGCAAGGCACCGGACGTGCAGCTGAAGACGCCCGAGAACTCTCCGAAGGCAGCAGAAGTCTGAAGCTGCACTCGGGTCACGCTTACTCATCCTTTGTACGTGTCCAGGAAGGAGCTGAGAGATACTTTCTGTTATTGCGGAGTTCTTAAGAATCTGGTGTCATGACATGATGTCCTGAGTTGTGTTTGCATACGGTTCCCTGGTGCTGTTTTGGGAACAGTGGGTAGCCTGTCGAACTTTCATTATTACAGTCATAATAATCTTAGAATCCTGGAAATGAGACTCGTTAGATCTATTTGCTCGTCTTGTGCTCCGTTACGTTTGTTCTATCGGTTATCGGTTAAGCTATGCGTGACGTGCTATCTAGTTATTATGTCATGAATGAAATGTATGCAATTATGGGTGTCCTGGTTATTATATTCCACTAAGGTTTGTTTGGATACATTCGTATCTATTTCAATCCATATGTATTGGATTAGATTGAAAAAACAACTAATTTTGATCTTAATACACGCGGATTAAGGTGGATATGAGTTCATCTAAAAGCCCTGACATGGAATATTGTTTTTCACTGCACCGTCTAGTCTCCGGGCAAGTTTCACTCTCTGGCCTTTGCTGGACAAGGGCCTGTTTTTAAAAGCTTATCAAAACAAGCCATCAAGATTCAAGAAGCAATGCTTGCCATCACCAATCAGGAAGAAAGGAAACAACATCATTCACTTTGCCAAGTTCCTGGAATCGGATCCGTCTAAGCAAAAAAGGCCTATTATTTTTGCATTTTCCCTCTAATGAATAATTATGTATTTCTATTGATAAGTCCATTCGTCCATTTTTTTTTGGTTCTTCATCCTTGTGTAGATGTATTTGTAGATGTGCATCAACTCATCTTACAGATTGGGTTAGAATTTTTTTTGCAACTGTTTACATTAAAAAGATAGTTAATGCCTCACTATAGAGTTCTGCACAAGGTCTAAAATTTTCTAGGATAGCCCTAGAGCGAGAAACACGCGGAGCCTATGAGACACACCGGGTTGACGCCCTCGTCGGGTGCGGACATCAATGCGGAGGACGGCGTGCCGTGGTGGAGGCGGGCGGCACCAGGAAGGATGGATGAATGGAATGGGCACTCCAATGGATCTCCTTGTATAGAGATGGAAAATAAGAAGGAAAAAGGAGAGAGAGTGAATGTTACACTGACGAGTGGGCCCCGAATGATATACACGGATAGAGGCTAAGATTTGAGGGCTTTTTTTGCGCAAAGTCTAAGAAGCGACTGGTCGCGCTCCAACTCCCCGCACGACACCAGCTCGCGACGGGCCGGCCCAGCAGACACCCCCTCCCTTCATCCAACGTTGCGGCCAACACCCCGAGCTCCCAACTTCTTCTTTCCCCTTTCGTTCCGGCAGCGCATACGGGCCAACGAATCCGGCGTTGCTGGCGGAACGCAACCGGCGAACGGTTGTGGACGGAGTTGCGGCGGGCGACGACGAAGGAAGTTCTCGGATTTCGCCGCGCGTCCAGATCGCCACTTTGTTCTGCATCTGCCTCGACGTGGTTGGGCTCCGACCCCAACAGCGGTTGTGGCGGCCTGGCGGTCCTCCCCCACCCCGACGGCGGTTCTCCCTCCAGCCGCGAGCCCGCGAGCGCCCCTCCCGCTGGAGCTCGTCGGAGGTCACCGGGCCCGCGCTCCCCGCCCGTCCGCTCTGGTCCGAGCTCCTCCCGCCTCCGTGGCTGCGCCGCCCACCGCCAGCCGTCCGTGGCCGCGCCGCCCGTCGCCGGAGCACGCAGACCGCCATGGCCCGCCGCCGGAGCTCGCAGGACCTCCGTCGCAGGACCGTTAGACCTCCACGCGCTCCCGCCCAGCCATGGCCGAGCCTCCAGCCGCCCACCGGAGCTCGCCCCGCTCATGTATTCTATACACATGGCTTGTGCGCATGGTGAATCTGAGACTGACCTTCCCAGCTCGATGTGCGCCTGATACTGAAAAGGATTTTTGGGCACTGAGAGGGATTTCCCAATAGCACGAGTAGCGGCTGGCATTTGAGAGGCTACTGATTCTGATCTGCTAAAATCAGTTCAGTATATTTAAGTATCATCCAGTATATCGGAGCTCTTCTTGATGGTTTTTGTCTTCGATCATGTGTTCTAATTGCTGTAACCTTAGTTCAGTATTGATTGATTCAGACCTGCACACTACCGCATCTTTCTTTGCAGTGCTAATGCATCTTGTAAAATTCTGAGTGTACTGAATATCTTTGCCATCCTGATCGAGGAAAAAACATGGCGAAGAATTCAGGAAGATTGGAGGTTCAAATGTGTTTCGTAATTGGTAGTTTTTTTTATTGTTTCTTTGTTTCATTTTTCAGTCATGTTTCTTTAATTTTAGATTTTAGTCACCTTTTTAGGTTCAAACGTGTATAAGAATTTGCCTTCCAGTTTCTTTTTTTTAGGCTAGTGTTTTTTTTCAGGTTTTTTAGTTTCAGTTTTTAGTCATGTTTTTTTAGTTTAAGTTCTGTCACCTTTTTATTTTAGGTTTGAATGCACTCCTAAATCCTACATATTAGTCGTATAATAAATTATTTTATTTTTTCCTCAATTATGTGTTTTGTGTTTTCTGGTTGTTAATTTTTTTTAGTCACATGTAATTTCAGTTTCATTTTTTCACTGATTTGTACTATTGAGCCACTTGTGATGAGATATATGAAATAAGACTACGATATATGTTTTTCAAAATAGCTTATAGGTACCGACAACTTATGTTATATATGTTGTAGCTATTTATGTATTAGGCATGTAGCAACCTATATATTAACCTTCTAACAAATTATATATACTAGTAAACGTGTAGCAACTTATGTATTAAGCGTGTTGCTACTTATTTGTCAATTTTAGTTTTCATTATTAGGTGCGACTTTCAATTGTATGTCTTCCCAAATCCTGCATATTAATTGCCTCACCTATAATGTATAAGTTGTTACAAAAGGTAGCTATTGCACACATAAGTTGCCACAAAAGAATTTGCCTCCCAGTTTCAGTTTTTAGTCAAAGTTTTTTTTCCAGTTTTTTTAGTTTTAGTTTTCAGTCTTATTTTTTTAAAATATTTTTTTGTTTCAGTTATCAATCACCCTTTTTAGATTTGAATGCACTCCTAAATCCTACATATTAGTTGTATAATAACTTTTTTTTAATTATTTGTTTTGTTTTCTGGTTGTTAATTTCTTTTTTAGTCACAGGTAATTTCAGTTTCATTTTTGTTTTTTCATCGTTTCTTTTAGTTTTAGTTTTATGTTTTTTTTGTTTCATTATCAGTCAATTTTTTTTATTGTTTTTAGTTTCAGATTTCAGTCACATTTTTAGATTTGAATGTCTTCCTAAATCCTGCATATTAGTTTCTACAAAAGGGTAGCCATTGAACACATAAGTTGCCATAAAAGATTTTGCTCCCAGTTTTAGTTTTCTGTCTTATTTTTTCTGTGTTTTTTATTTCTGTTTTCATTTTTTTAATTTTAGTTTTCAGTCACCGTTTTAGGTTCGAATACATTTCTAAATCCCGCATATTAGTTGCTTCACCTACGATGTATAAGTTGCATATTTTTAGATTTTCATTCTTTTTTTAGTTTTTTTAGTTTCAGTTTTCAGTCTTTTTTATTTTTTTATTTCAACTTTCAATTTCCTTTTAGGTTCGAATGCCTTCCTAAATTATGTATATTAGTTGCCTCACCTACAATGTATAAATTGTCACAAATGGGTTGTCAATGCATACATAAGTTGTCACAAAAGAATTTGCACCTAGCTTGTGCAACAACGGTTTGTTGCAATAATTTGCCCGCTAGCTTGTGCAACACCTTATATTTTTAGGTTTGCTGTAATAATTTGCCCCACAAGTTGTACAGCTATAGTATTACATGTTAGTAACTCATTTTGATATTTTTTTGTCCCCCAGCTGCATACTATGTACCAACTTTAGCTTTACACGGTAGTAACTTTTGATTTTTGGCCCCCCTGAGCTTGTGCATACCATGTAAAAATTTTAGTATATTTTTAGAGTAGCAAGTTTAGTATTACATGGTAGCAACTTCTTCATAAATCTCCTAGCATATTTTACACATAAATTGCTACTGAAATAAAATTCTTCGAAACATAGGCAAATGGGGTCTAATTTTATTCGCTTCGTCACGTGGAACACACCAGTGCAAACGGAATTGAAAACGGATATACCATTCAAAATTATAGCAATTTAAAAAAAATATATTCAACTTTTTTTTTTTGCTTGCATCACCTTGCGTCAGCACATGCTGCAGGATCGGGGGAGGGAGTGGGGACCGAAGCGGAGAAGCCACATTCAGCAGGAGCGAGGGGGACAGGAGTGGGGGGATCGGACACGTGCATCGATGTCGGACAGGGTCGCGCCCTCTACTTCTGCGCGACTCGTCGCGGCTTATCGTCGTCCTTTTTTTTTTTGAGTTAGTGCAATTATTTTAAACCTCAAAAGTAGGAGAGTCCTCAAACTCCAAGTAAAGATCCTGGTTCCTTCCTGAAGTTATTATTAAAATGTTATTTAACCTACCATGCTCTGACTATCCTTGGCCCTATGCTTGTGTTTGTTTTAGCCCAACAAGCCTAAAATTAGTCCAACCACCATCTCTATGCCAAGAGCATCTCCAGGAGTTTTTTTAAATTATTCTAAATCATCATTTTGAGGACTATTTTAATAAAATCTCTCTCTATATATATATCTTTTTAGCCTCCAACAACTTTATCTTATGTGCATTTTAGAGGGCTAACCCCGTTCTCCATCTTTAGTTACAAGAAATCTGGAATAAGAGGATGACAATATTTGGAGATATGTGGAGAGATATTTTTTCACGAAAATCTTTATTCTTATCAATGCAGAAGGATATAAAAAGGCTACTAAAGTTGTTCTAACGTGTTCTAATTTTATGTTTTGGCTCAACTGGGCCAACACTTGCAAACATTTTTTTTTTGTTATTTCCTTATCTATTTCTTTTTTTTCATGCCCACACTAGCAAACATCTAATTTTTTTTTAGGGGAGCAAACATCTATTCAACTGGGCCAACATTAGCAAACTTTGGTGCTAGACAATTCCCCAAATCCAAAGCCTTGCTGCTCGGAGCTGTACTACGCACCGACTAGCGCACAGGAAGATTGGCGCAACGAGCCGCAGGGTGGTGTCCGCCAGCCATCGACGTGCCCTGTTTACTTGGTTCATAAACCATGACTAAAAGTGCTAATTAGTTGTGAGAGAAAAATATTTTTCGTTGACTGAAAAAATACGGCTTATAAGTCCAGCAAAACAGGGCGATCAACCAGCCGGCTTCCTCCATGGACGCACCCAGGACCTGCACTGGACGCGCGATTTTGGAGCGGCTGCAACTGGCGCAGCGCTTCACTTCGTTACTTCGAATCTCGAGCAGTGACTGTGGTGGGAGCTCGCCGCCACGGGCGACGCGTGGCGAGCCTGGCGGCTACTCAGAGCTTGGTGTGTTAGCTCGCATGGCGTCACTGGTCCTCCAATGCCAAGTGTGACGTCGTTGGGGCCACGGTATGTTTGGCCTCTTCTCATCTGGTTGTTTAATTTAAGTAGCTCAGAATTTATTAATAAAATAAATGATTTGATCGTCTTTTGGATGAGGGGCACTATCTATATGATCACGGAAATCCTTCGGTTGTTGGGATAGCTATATGATTTTTTAGGGTTTCATTTAGATCTATACTACTAGATCATAAGGACTAAGCTCCAAGCGACCAAACAGGTGTCCCCTGTATTTGGCAGATCACTAGGCTATAATTTTTTTATTAAGCTTTGTTTATTCCTAAACAAAAAAATAGATGATCATTTTGATATCATAAGTTATGTGGAGACTCTATATGGTGATATTGACAGAGCAATGATATTGGTACAATACAAAATCATGCCTTCTTTGCATATATACACAGCAATCCGCCGTTCAAAATTCAACCAAATGCTTACAGTGAATGATAATTACAAAGAAATGTTAACTTCTCAAATTCTTCTTCAAATCCCAATGACTTCATACTACCCCCAAACTACAGAAACAATAAGGAGAGCTAAGAAAGATGTATAAGTATGTATAATGCCTAATAATCAGAACAAATTCTTAACCAAGGTACTATGATGAGGCTGAACGAAGTTCAACTAGAGAAGCATAGAATCCATCTTTGATATTCATCAGTGCCTCATGTCTTCCTTTCTCCACTATCACGCCATCCTTGAGAACTGCGATAATATCAGCACTTTTGATCGTCGAGAGGCGGTGTGCCACAATAACTGTTGTCCTGCCAACCATCACATTATCCAAGGCATCCTGCACTATGCGCTCAGACTCAGCATCCAAGGCACTCGTTGCCTCGTCAAGAAGTAGAATCCTAGGATCTTTTAGTATAGCCCTTGCTATGGCTACCCGCTGCTTCTGGCCACCAGATAGCTGAACCCCCCTCTCTCCAACAGTGGTGTCATACCCCTGGGGAAGGCTTGATACGAACTCATGCGCATTGGCTGCCTTTGCGACCTTGATGAGCTCCTCCTCAGTGACCTCCCCATGTTTCCCATAAGCTATGTTGGCACGGATTGTGTCATTGAAGAGAATAGGCTCTTGGCCCACCAGACCCATTTGGTCCCTTAACCAAGTGACTTTTAGGCTTTTGATCTCTACTCCATCCAATGAGATAGTACCAGAGTCGGGGTTGTAGAATCGTTCCAACAAAGAGATTACCGTTGACTTGCCACTGCCACTCTCTCCCACAAGTGCAACAGTCTGTATAAAGCAATAAGTCGGATTAAGTTGTTGATTATATTACTATAGAAGATAGGACATTGCAGATGGATAGTAGGCTAACCTTGCCAGAGGGAATGTGCAAGGTAAAGTCGCTAAATATTTGAATATCTGGGCGGCTTGGATACTTGAAGCTGACATGTCGGAAATCGATGTCGCCCTTGACCTCATGTAGCGTCGAACCTTCATCATTGCTTGAGTCGATTTTGGACTTTCTGTCCAATAATGCGAATATGGAGACGGCTGAATCCTTGGCCTTTGTAGAATCAGAAGCCAATGCACTTGTTTGAGATACTCCAATTGTTGCCAACATCAGTGCAAAAAATACCTGCCAGACATTACTTAATGCATCAAACTCAAATATACAATAGGAAGAAGTGGAATGCTGAAGGGAAGCGATGCATTTTCCTAACCTTGAAAACATCTCCAAAAGTAGATTTGTTATGACGAACAAATTGTGCTCCAACGTAGAAACAAAGTCCGTATGTTAGGTACAACATCAAGAATGAGAAACCAAAACCAAGGCCTCCAACCATTCCTGTTCTGACTCCTTGTTTCTTTGACGCTTCACATTTATCTTCATAAATTGTCGTCACTCTTTTTTCAGCACAAAAAGAAGCTACAGTCCTGATACTGCTGACTGCATCGGTGGCCACTTGACTTGCGTCTTCATACATTATCTGCAGAATAGCGTTCCATTGTCGCTTAGCAAATTTGGGAGAAAACAAATATCTACAGTGAATCCTGCTTTAAATCATTTTTGATGTAATTCGTATAAGTCAATAATATGTCATAAATTTTATAAGATAGTATGAGCTTGGTTGCTTGAAAATATATGCATAAATCTTAGTTTCACTAGTTGATAGATTACCTTGGCATCTTGACTGAAACCCTTCAAGAACTTCACTTGTGCATAACCTTGAACACCCGATAGTGGCATCACACAAAGGATGATCAATGTGAGCTTCCAATCTGCCACAAAAGCAATGACAAATCCTGCAATTATTGTCGAGGTGACCTGAACTGCCAAGGCCAAGTTATCACCCACTAAACGTCGGACATTCAAAGCATCAACTGACAACCTTGCGCCAAGTGTTCCACTGTAAGATATAAGCATACCGTTAGTACCTCAAATATGGAATCCTGTAAGTAGAAAGAAAGATAACAAAACGTTGATCAAAGGGATGGTAACCAACCTGGAATTTTTGGGATCATCAAACCAAGCAACTTCTTGGTGCACAATGCTCCGAAATGACAAGGCACGGATACGCTCGATAAGCTTCCCCCCGGCTACCCCAAATAAGAAATACTCCACTGGTATTGATAGTATTGATACAATACCCAGCACAACACACATCAAACCCCAAAAGCTTGCATCCTTTTTTAGTTGGTGTGGCGGCTCATAGAATGTTTTGATGGCATTGGAGATCATTAGACCAAACATTGGGAAAAGCACTCCATGGACTCCAGCAGCTAGCGATCCTAACAAAAGAATAGGCACCTCTGGCTTGTTTAGACTAGCTAGCCGTCCCATTGGAGCTTTCTTTGGGGCCTCACCATCACGAGCCTGCTCTTTCTCATCCTCCCAATTTGCATCATTGCCTTCAAGCAATTCAACTGAACCAGGCATGCTAAAGGGGAGGGTCAAAGAATGCCGACTACTGTTTCCCGTTGAACCTCTGCTTATTGATCGCTTCAGTGAGAGGCTTCTACTTTTAGACCTTGAATCAGACATGTGATGATCTAATTTCTGTTCTTCTTCTTTGCTTTCTTGGAGACGAATAAGTTGAGAATAAGCACCATCAGGGTTCATTATCAGTTCATCGTGGGGACCTATGAATACTCATTGATGCAAGAAATTGATATGGTTAGTTAAAATATCTTGAGCATGTAACAAATTAAAATTCAATATGCCAAATGGGAAAGACATCCTGACCTTGTTCAACTATTTTCCCTTGTTGAACAACTGATATGCAATCAGCATTTCTCACAGTACTTAGGCGATGTGCAACCACAAGTGTTGTCCTATCCAGCATGATCCTATTCAGTGCCTCCTGAACAATCCGCTCCGACTCCACATCCAATGCACTAGTAGCCTCGTCTAACAAAAGAATTCTGGGGTTTTTGATGATTGCTCTTGCAATAGCGATCCTTTGCTTTTGTCCCCCTGATAGCTGAGCACCACGTTGGCCAACCATCGTGTCATAACCCTAGTATCAGACAAAAAGAGAAATATTAGCACTCGGCTCAGCAAGATTAGGATGTACATAAGTTGATAATTGGATCTATGACATACATTGGGTAACTTATCGATGAAATTTGCTGCATTAGCAAGCTCAGCTGCTCTTTTGATCTCTTCAATTGTTGCATCTTCTTTTCCATATGTTATATTATCTTTGATAGATGTCATAAAGAGCAATGGCTCTTGGTTAACAAGACCAATCTTCCCTCGTATCCAATCAAGCTGCAAACTCTTGATGTTAATCCCATCAATCAAAATCTCACCAGCTTGTGGATCATAGAATCTCTCTACAAGACTTATCACGGTTGACTTGCCACTTCCACTCTCCCCAACTATAGCCATTGTAGTGCCGCTAGACACATGTAGCGAGAACCCATCAAATATTAGTTTCTCTGGTCTCGCTGGGTAGCTGAAGTACACGTCATTTAGGTCAACATCACCCTTGATGTCTTCTAGTTGCTTACCAGTTGGGTCTTCTGGGTCAATCTCTGGTTTCCTCTTGATCGTTGTGAACAATCTGTATGCCGCAGATTGTCCTTCTGCAAAGGCTGCCATGCAGGGTGTTGCATTACCTAAAGACCTGCACACCAAAAATTGAAGTTAACACCACCAGTCATGCAACATGGATCAGCATAAGACTTTATTTCTCCAGATTCAAAGAAACCCACATTGCCCCAGTCATTATAGCAAACAAGATATTGATGACGTCTCCTCCTGAGTAACCTTTGCTAAGAATCAACTTTCCGCCATACCATATGGCTAAACCATAGCTTGAGAAAAATATGCAGAAAACAGAACCCATGCCAAAACCACTGGTAATTCCTTCTTCAACAGCAGCCTTGTATGACTTGTGTATGAGTTTATTATACAATGCAATAGCCTGTTTCTCCCCATTGAAGGAGACAACCTGTTTTGCAGATGTAGGCACAAGAAAACCAGTGAGAGCATGCAAAATTGAAAAATGTAGAGATTCATCTGACAGGAGCGCTTTGGAACTCACAGTTCTTATAGCCCCAAGTGTCTGTTCAACAATATTGCCTGCATCACTGTATGATGCTTGCCCCTTGGTAGATATTTTAGCAAGCATTTTTGAGACAACTCCACCAGCAATGACAACTGGAGGTATGCATGCCAACATGACAAGAGATAGAAGCCATCCTTTTACGAATGCTATCACGAAACCGCCAATGAAGGTTGCCACAAGCTGTTGAAACTTGCCGACCTGAAGAGTTTGTAGAAGTCAAATTGTGCACATTTTGATATAATTTGGTAATGATCAATAGCAGGTTTGCTTCTGCACTCGTCACTTTCAAAGATAGGAATTATTACCTTCTCACCAATGGCATCCTGAACTAACACGGTATCACCAGACATCCTTGAAACTATCTGCCCAGTTGTCATTTCTACATCAAAGAATGCTATTTCTTGTCTCAAGACAGATTTGAGGTACAGAGATCGAATGCGTGTTGCCTGCCTTTCTCCTGTCATTGTCCAACATGACACCTCTGCACAAACAATAAGTGGCTTCACTTATTTACACTGATATAGTTATTACGTGGCTTATGCATGTAGAACCCTTGTTTCAAGTTTTCTAGGTCAGTTTGTCAATGAAGCAATGTCTTTATGGTACGTTTCTTCATGTATTACTTTCCATGGAAGTTCAAACATGTTGGGACTGTCCTAACCACTATCATGAACACAAGCTTTTTGTACCCTTCATTGAAAGTACATAACAAAAGTCAAAGTTGAACTCTGCTCTATGACAACGGCTTGCAAGTTTGAAAAGTTGAAACACTTGTATTGGCGCTAGCTGCTATATGAGGCGAGCTTCTTTTTCTTAAGCTTATCTTATCTCAGCATTGACCGCAAGATTAGTTTTATACTAACGATGGTCAATTATTAGCAGCAGCAATGTCAGCTTCTGGTGCAAAATGCAAGCGGATGTGAAGATTGAAAAGTTGACAGAGTCTACTTAGAGTACTTACGAAGAAAGGAAACAACCGCTGTTGCAATGCCTAGGTAGACAAAGTTCAGAACTGCCTGTGAAAAAAGCAAGGTAGAAACGAAGTGAGAATTGAGAAATGCAATAATGTCTCGCTAACAAGGAAATGAGTTCTAGTTGAAGTAAACTTCAAGCTACATATAATTCATGGAGAACAGTGATGAAAGTTTGACCTCATTTTTTTATGATTTTGTTCAGGATTCGGATAGCAATCTGTCAGCAAAGTTATACTACTGCAACGGACAAACTTACAGTGTGATTATGTGTCCCATCTCAGAAAGGGGGAAAGAAATGTGTTGGACCTGCTTATTCTTGGACTGAGTTTTGGATCTTTGATCAAGAAAAGATTCCAGCCTTTACCGGATGTGGTTAGTTATCCATTATATTAAAATTGTTCCACATGGTCCCTTATTATTATATTACAAGTTGTAATAATGCAATCTACTGGTATAACCTATTACAAGTTACTGTTTTGAGCATTTAGCTAATCTATTCCTGTTTCTAATTCAGAAAGGTCGCTTTCAGAAAAGCACATTGTAAGCGACTACGCAGTTTATCTTAAGTCAGCTCCCATGTGAGAAAAGGGGGGGAAATCCTAATTGCATGAAAAAAAACTAAATGCGAAAAAAATATTCTGGCTAGTTGGTCGTTAAAAGTTGAGTTTGAGTTGTTGAGGAGGCTTTTATACTTCAGCGGTACTTTTCAGTGAACGAACAGTATTTTCCTCCCACAATAAATCAGTAAATTTTAGCGAAACGAACGGGCCAAGAAACAGTATTTCTGGGCCTGTAATTTTTACAGTAAACTTGTGACCCTGAAGACTCTGTTTTATTCCCTCGATAGAAAAAGGATCAAGTTGCCATACAAACCTTGCCAAGGCTCGCCCTTCGATGTTTGCACTTAATAATATTGAAACTATACAATTATTGCTACCGCATGACTGAACTAATGAAAGCAAAAACGCTCCAAGAAGACAGAAGGAATAGTGCAATATTCGAACTTTGAAACTAGGAAAATAAGGTACTAGTTGAATTGGATTTTTTTTAAGAATTACACAGTACAATACAACCCCTCAACATGCACGCACACTCACTGCTATGAACACACGTACGCAAACCCTACCCTTATAAGCACCTCCGAAGGACTGAGCCGGCAGATCTCGAGATTCACGAAGTCACCACAGATGTCTCGCTGTCGACGGGGACGTCGCCTACCACTAAAAGTATAGCCGCACCCGTACCAAGTCGAGAAATTGAATCCGGAAGAAGCCCAACCAACTGATCTAGGAAGAGGCATCGCTTTGATACTGGACGTTGCTGCTTAGTTTCTACGGATAACGTATCAAGGAAGTATTTTCATTTCTAAGGGCCAATTCCATTGCACCATTGCATAATAGGAGTGTTTTTTTTATATATATCTCAAGGTTGATTGAATGAAGAACATAAAAACGAGCAAAACAGAAAGAAGACAAATAGAGAACAGAACGGGAGTACTAATGGCGCCAAAAGTCAAGATACGCCCTCCATCGTTGTCCCTCCCTGGGCAACGAAAGCGCAAACGCCGCCAAGATTTTAACAGAGCTTTCTATCTCGATCAGACCAGACTGCCATGCGACCGAATTTGTCCTCGATCCAATGACGGCCGTCTCCGGCCGCCGGCATACGTACATGTTATGGAGAAGTCATCTCCGGCTCACCTGGTTGACGCGGTGGAGGACGTTGTCGGTGGTGGCGTTGCCGAAGGCGTTGATGACCTGGCCGAAGATGACCGTCATGACGGGCTGCGAGACGCCGTTGGCCAGCGCCCCCACGGTGCCGAGGAGCATGAGCAGCACGTCCGTGCCGTCGGCGTACCGGAACAGCCCCGTGAACGGCACCTTCTTCCCGGCGTCGCCGCCTCCGCCGTTCCCGCTCCCGTTCCCGTTCCCCTCTCCCTTCTTCTCCACGCCATCGCTCCCTTTCGCACCTCCCGCTGCGTCCATGGCTCGCGACTTTGTGGGGGATGTGTGTGTGTACTGCGTACACGCCTGCCTGCCTCTGGGGGAGGGGGCGCCTGATTCTCGCGGCTCCGCCTGGCAACGGTATTTATGGGGTTCGTTGGTCGCACAGGGTGGTAGTAGTTGGGAAAGGAGCCATTGCACACGGCCCAACTTCTATTGCGAAACTTTTTACGCAAGTATGTACAGTCTCTGTCTCTCAGCCCGTTTGCGAAACTTTTTACGCAAGTATGTACAGTCTCTGTCTCTCAGCCCGTTTGGTCGCTCGTTGGTCATGACTTATCAGTCAGTTAACAGTGTTTTTCTCTCGTAATAAATCAGCACCAACTAGGGATTATCAGCCCAGAAATCAATCAGCCCCCGAACAGGCCGTCTATCTCTATCTCTATCTCTTCTCTTTTTTTCTCTTCTCTATCTCTATCTCTTCTCTTCTCTTCTCTTCTATATCTCTATCTCTATCTCTCTCTCTACTCTCTTCTCTTCTCTACAACTAAAAAATCCATAAGAGAATCATTGATCGGCGTGCGAAAACTCGCTCGCGTCTGCGCTTGCCCGGCGCGCCTTCGCTAGCTCGCGCCTGCAGTGGACCCGGCGTCGTGCGAGCGATCACCGAGAGCTTCGCCCATCATTCAATCACCGTAGCACCGGAGGAAAAGCAAATCACTTGTGCCTGCCCTTCCTGCGCTCGCTCACGTCGCCGCCTTGCAACCAACATCCATGCCAGCACAAAAGGAAATAATCAATCCCTCCCTTGACCTCGCATGCGGTTCCCCGGTCAAAATCCTCACGTCCCCCGGCGCTTACTGGCTTGCCCGCGCGGTGGTGCCCCGGTCTCCCTCGGGGCTCATACGTTGCCCTATCAAAAATCCTCCGTGCGATCTCCTCCTCCAATCCAGTAGTCGCTCACCCGCTCGGGCTGCTTGCCGAAGTGCCGAATCGCCGTTTCCCGACGCTTGTTGTCGCTGCCTGTCTGCAGCCCGCCTTCGCCTTCCCGCCAGCGGCCGACAGCCGCCACCTGCCCTCCGGCCCTCCCCACCTCCACAGTTCGCTGACTGCACGCAGCAGCAGCATCCCTGACGCCTCTGGACAGGCCGAACGGCGGATGCCTAGGTCCTGCATCCGCGCCAGCCTCTAGCTCGAGCTCCCCTCCTCAGTCCTGCATCTGGCTGTCTACATGGTGAGCAATGGCGGATGCAGATCCAGTTCTTTGTTTGATTTTGAATATCAGCAGATTGATTCATTTGCCATTCAGTTAGATGAAGCACACAATTATCATCAGTTTGATCTAGCTGCAGATAGTATGTTTCATAGTTTTAGACAATGAGAAAAAGGCTTGCATCATTTCAGGCTTGCACTGCTTACGGACGGTTACCGATCGCTGTGTATCAGTCAGGTAACCCTTCAAAGACTACTTGTGTTCTACCTCTCATCACGAAAATGTTTCATATTGATATGTAGTAGCAAAATCATTAGCATGCATGATACAATGTGCATCCTTCATACTGGTGAAGGTAGAGCAGAAGCTGTTGGAAAGCGGACAGTGATGCCTTCATCATTTATTGGAGGCCCCCATGACATGAGGCGTCGGGTACATAACGCCATGGCTCTGGTATGGAGGTTTGGTAAACCGGACATCTTCCTGACTATGACATGTAACCCAAACTGGGATGAAATCAAGCATGAACTCTACCCTAGCCAGACACCACATGATCGTCTAGATCTCGTTGTTCGGGTCTTTAGAGCAAAACTACAAGAGCTGGACGATAGACTACTAAAAAAGGATATCATTGGAAAGGTGTGAGCACATGTTTATGTTGTGGAGTTTCAGAAGAGGGGTCTACCGCATGCACTTTTTTTGCTAATCATGGATAGGAAGTACAAGATCACGTGTCCAAGGCAGTATGATCGCCTCATCTCAGCAGAGCTCCCGAACAAGAAGAAGTACCCAGTCTTGTACAAGATGGTTACTAAACATATGATGCATGGCCCTTGCGGATTGATTAATCGCGATTGTCCATGCACAAAGGGTCGTGATCCCTGCAAGAACCGTTACCCTAGACCTTTCTGCGATGTCACAGTACAAGGCAAGGATTCATATCTAGTTTACAAATGGCAAGAAAAAGTTCGCGGACACGAGCTTGACAACAGATGGGTCGTGCCTTACAACCCGTATCTCCTCCGTCTATTCAACTACCACATCAATGTTGAGGCATGTGGGAGCATCAAGGTAGTGAAGTATCTGTTTAAGTACATTTACAAGGGTCATGACCGGGCGTCTATGGCTATGAGAGAGGCTGACAAGGAGGATAGTGAAGGGAACATTGATGAGATCAAGTAGTACAGAGATGCTAGATGGGTAACCCCCCAGAAGCCTTGTGGAGGATATACGAGTTTGATTTGAGTGATAGGTACCCTTCTGTTTTGTCCTTACAGCTACATCTTCCAGACATGCACATGGTGTCATTTCATCGGCGCCAGGGGATTCGATGAGTGCTTGATCATCTAGGTGCTGATAAGTCAATGCTTACAGCGTACTTCGAGAAGAACAGGACAGATGAAACAGCTCGAGGTATATTGTATCGGGACTTTCCTGAGTTCTATACGTGGCAAGCATAGGGCAAAGTTTGGCAAAATAGGGCACATCATGATACATTACGACAGATTGGAATAATCGTGTCTGCCAATCCAGCCGAGGGGGAGTGTTACTATCTTAGGGTTCTCCTGAACCACATGGCAGGTGCAACCTCGTTTGAGTGTCTAAGGACCATGGATGGCAAAATCCTACCGACCTTCCGTGAAGCTACAGAAAGAAGGGGCTTAATCGAAGAGGACAACACACTGAACGAGAGTCTCGCTGAGGCAACCGGGTGGATGATGCCATATGCGCTGCGAAGGCTCTTTGCAATAATATTGGTATTTTATGAGCTCAGTGATGTGTTTGGACTATGGGAGAAACACAAGGAGGCAATGTCGGAGGACTACAGGCGTAATAATCAATCCACCTTCATGGTGGAGCAGATGGTCCTCATGGATATTCGAAAATTGCTACAATCAATGCAGAAGGATATAAAGATGTACCCACTTCCTGATATCGACGACACATATGATGCCTCTCGTGATATTCCTAGAGAGATTTTTGAGGAGGCTAGCATTGAGGTTAACGAGGATGATGTGGCTCTGTCAGACACCCTTAACAAGGGGCAGCGGGCTGCATACGATGAGATCATGTCCTCGATTGATACCGAGGATGGGGGTCTCTTCTTTGTGGATGGTCCTGGCGGGACCGGAAAGACTTATCTGTATAGAGCACTTCTCGCTATTATACACAGTCAGAAAAAGATTGCAGTGGCAACAACTACATCTGGTGTTGCGGCCTCAATAATGCCTGGTGGCAGAACTGCCCACTCGCGCTTCAAGATTCCCCTCACCATCGATAATGGGGCCTTTTGCACCTTCACGAAATAGAGTGGTACTACCAAGCTGCTTCGGGCCGCATCCCTTATTATTTGGGACGAGGTGACAATGATAAAGAGGCAAGGTGTTGAGGCACTAGACAACAGCCTTCGTGATATAATGGACCGACCAGAGTTGCCGTTTGGGGGGGAGACCATGGTGTTCGGTGGAGATTTCAGACAGGTTCTTCCCATTGTTCGGAGAGGATCAATGGCTCAGGTAGTTGGTGCCTTGTTGTAGATGTCGTACCTTTGGGATTCCTTGCGGCATCTAAAACTGGTGCGCAACATGAGGGCAAAGAGCGACCCGTGGTTTGCAGAATACTTGTTGCGCGTTGGTGAAGGTTCTGAGGAGGCAACTGTTGATGATGAAATCCGTCTTCCTCATGATATATGTGTTCCGCACATCGAAGAAGATAGTGATCTTGATACTCTAATTGATTGCATATTCCCTAACCTCAATGCAAATATGTCAAGCAAAGATTATATCACCTCTCGAGCGATATTATCTACGCGGAACGAATGGGTTGATATGATTAATATGAAGATGATAGGTCATTTCCACGGAGATGAGATGGTGTACCATAGCTTTGACTGTGCGGTGGACGATCCGCACAACTACTACTCTGAGGAATTTCTTAACACTTTGACACCCAATGGGCTACCTCCACGTGTGTTGAAGCTGAAGATTGGTTGTCCGGTCATATTGCTTAGGAACATTGACCCTGTGAACGGACTTTGTAATGGTACCAGGCTTATCATACAGGGGTTCCAAAAGAATACCATAGACGCAGAAATTGTGTTGGGACAACATGCTAGAAAGTGGGTTTTTCTGCCTCGAATACCCTTATGCTCGTCGAACGATGAGATGTTCCCTTTCCAATTTAAGCGAAAGCAGTTTCCTATTCAGCTCAGCTTCGCAATGACTGTTAACAAGGCACAGGGGCAGACTATCCCTAACGTCGGGATATATTTGCCAAAACCAGTGTTCTCGCATGGCCAATTGTATGTGGCGCTATCAAGAGCTACAGCAAGATCGAACATTAGGATCTTGACTGTGCCAGCTGCTGAGAAGGACGTGAACAAGGAAAAGGGGAAAGGGAAGGGGAAGAAGAGACCGACAAAGAATATTTTCACAAAGAATATTGTATATAAAGAGGTTCTAACTCTATGAAAGAGGTGATGTATTACACGTCGATACATATTTTTTAAGATATATCAATAGTACTTTAACTTTAAAAATTAACAAACAACTTATGTGAATGATACTTCTAACTACGGCTTCAACCATCTGCATGCTTCAGCTGCAAGAAGTTAGATGCCGCATCTTGGGTTTGAAAATCTTCTGGATTATCTTTGATTGGTGACCAGCTGCAGCTTGGTGTTCGTGCAAAGCACGTTCTCTTGGTCGAAACATTGAGAGATTATATTCTTAATTGTACAATATATTGTAAAACATGTATTGTAAAACATAAACTTGTTATGATTAAGGTGAATGCTCGTGTATTGCAACTTGTAAAACATCACGATTGC